AGAAAGGGGCATGAGATTGGTTTGCAGTACAGTAAAACCTCTCCCTGGACCTCAGTTTTTCTTTATGTGAAATGAGGAGGTTGAGCTAAGCAATCTCTGAGGTCCCTTTCAGTTCCTAAGTGTTATTATTATCCTTACAGAAAACTGGTATTTTTTAAAAGTTATTTTGCCCACAATTCATGTCTTCTAAATCTAGAAACTCTGTAAGAGAACTTGTATGGAGTTCTTTTCCACTAAAGTAAACCATGTTCTAATTCAGGCATTATTTTTATTCTTACTTAGACCTTACCTAGATTCCAGATTATAGATTGTATGTGTGGTTTATATGAGAGGGGAATAAAATTATGCTGGTAACTATTAAAAATATTAAAATCAGTAAGTTTTATTAATACCTCTTTTTTATATCACATTCATTTATAAACATGCCCAATCCTAGCTTCGTCTCAATAAGACTTCCTTTGTCTCAAAGATTAAAAAAAAAAGGCTGTAAGCAAAACTGATAGTTCATAACCATAGTCTTCCTCTCTCCCTTGAAAGGGGGGGAGGTACTTTTGTCATTTTTTTTTCAGGGCAAAGCTGAACAATGATCAGTTACATTTTGTTGTTTATTCTGTTTGCTTTGTCATTGTGTATATTGTTTTCCTGATTCTTCACTTTGCATTGTGCTCATCTTCATTGCTGTGAATTCCTCATATTCCTCATTTCTTTCAGTGCAGTAATAGTTAATTGTTCCCATGCTCCCTGCTGCTTTTAGACAGTTGCCAGTTGATGGATGCCGGCTTAGTTTCCACATCTTTGCTACCAGGAAAAGTGTTTCTGTAGTTATTTTGATGTTTGTATGCCTTGTGTGTAATGTGTGTATACATTAAGTTTTAGAGCAAAAGCCTTGACAAGCAGTGAGATCTTATGACATTATAATAAATGGTGAGACTATCTCATTTTCTATAGGAAATCTCAGGATGGACTTAGTTTATATCAAGCAGCTGTCCATTTTGGAAATCCTTTAAAAAGATGTGCTGGCAATTCCCGAGAGATCTAGTAATGCAATTATATTATTAAGTGCACTGACTTAAGTAGCTCTAGCCTTAACATATCCCTGTACTATAACTAAAAACTTTCACAAATATGGACAAGCATTTAGCCTTATGTTAAGTGGAACACCACTGTCACTTATGGAAAAAGATGACGGTAGAGTTTCATGTCTCTAATTCTGTTTGGTTCAGCTATATTTTTCTTAATTTCACTACTGAATTTTACTTAAATTATGATTTTTGAATGCCTAAATCCAATCCAGTAACACCAACAAATTTGGCATTAAATATCTATTTAAATTTAAAACTTAACTAATTTAAAGGCTATGTTATTTTAACTATATGTTGAATACCTGTCTTACTGTTAAGTTTAGAGAGACATTTTGACAAGAATGTTATACTGGGAGTGAGAAGTAGGCAGTACCACCCCCTGGAGGGGTGCTGGACTGATTCAGGGTGCCTCAGGTGCAATTGGGAGTGGTGGAAGCATAAGGAAAGAAGAGAAGATAAGAAAATTTTGGAAAGTCGCTCTTACGTGTTTCATCTGTTGTGTAACAGAGTTGAAGTCATAGTGATTATATTATTTTCAAAATAAACACACAAAATGCAAATTATAACCCATCAGTGGTCAAGTCCACCGACAGGTCCTAACAAGCAAAGTGTTGGCAGGTGAGCATGTCACGCATTGTCAGGAAGTCCAGCATGTATCCGCAGGAATACGTGGGTGTAATGTTGTTTATAACATGGTACTTATATGGTTACATGACACAGTGTTGCATCATCAAAATTTCAATGCAGGAAAAACCTCACAAATTTACAATAAATTATTAAATTTAAGATGCATCATTTTAAAGAATATCTATTTTATATTTTTTGAAGTGATACAAATTAAAAAAAAAACCCTTTGAAGAAAGTAGATTTCCGGGGGGTGCTGAGTAATTTTTTTTTGAAGGAGCCAAATAAGTTTGTGAGCCTCTGACCTACTGTCACAGATCTGGAGCTGGAAGGACACCTCAAAGGCCATAAACCCGCTGCCTCATTTTACAGGTGAGGCAAGTGGCCTTTAAAGAGGACGCACCACTTTGTCCCTAGGTGTGTGTGAGCAGCCAAGCTGAGGTTCGAGCTCTTCCAGCTCTTTGCCCCTGCCTCACATTGGCTCTGTATCAAAGGTTTTATTCATCCTTCCTCTAGCTCTGTTACTGAGCTGCTAAGATGTATGGGGAATAGAGTGAGCCACCCCTGCCTGGGACACTGGTGGTGTGGCCCTGGGCCTGGTACTGACTGTGTCCAAGCCTTGATTTCCTCCTTCATAAAATAAGGGTGATGATAATAGGATTGTTGAGGGCTCACTGCGATAGCTCCTGTAAAGCTCTAGGAAACCTCTCTGTCTTCTCTGAAGAAGTTTCCTCCTTGATAGAATGGAGGTGGTCACAGCTACAATATGCGATGACTAACTTGGATAGACTTAGCTCTTCTCAGCAATGCAAGGATCTAAGACATCTCCAGGGGTCTCATGGTGGAAAGAGCTATTCACATTCAGAGAGGAAAATGTGGAGTCTGGATCTAGATCAAAACATACTGTTGAGTCTTTTTTTCCTTCTGTTTTGTTTCTTCTTCTTTGTGGTTCCTCCTATTGGTTCTGATTTTTCTTTACAGCATGACTCATGTGAAAATATGTTTAATAAGAATGTATATGTAGAGCCTATGCCATAAGCTGTCTTGGGGAGGGGGGAAGGGAAGGAGTGGGAGAAAATTGGCAACTCAGAAGCTTATGGAGGTGAATGTTGAAAACTAAAAATAAATTAATTAAAAGTTAAAAAAAAAGAGGTTTTCTCTTTGATAGAATGGGGACAGTCACAGCTGGAGTTTGTGACCCCGACTCAGTAGTGATGAGATCCTAGAGAGGGGTGGGGGGGAAGGAGGCCCAGGGCAGGACGGCTCTAAGGGACTTGTAATGCAGGAGCAGTATCTGTGCAAAAACACAACTCCTCGGTCCATTTGGCACTTGAGCGGCGTTGTTTACAATAACTTGCCACCCTCCCCTCATCTGCCAAAGTCAGAGCCATAAATTACAGTGCTCGCTCTGTCTCATGCTACATGGCTCCCTATTGCTTCTGGCCTTTGTAAACATCCTCTGTGTGCATTCCCCTGGTGCCTGCCCAAGAGGCCAGCCTCTGTCCAAGGTGCTCTTTCCTGCCTGAACTTGAAGCCCCCAGCTGTTTTCACATCTCAGTACTAATGCTGCCTCCTCCAAGTAGTCTTTCTTGATTCCCATAGTTTAATGCTAACCCTCACCCTACCTCCTGCAAAATCAACTACTTTATATTTATTTATCTGTGTATACTGAAGCAGCTACTCATATTAACATTTATCTAATACTTTTAAGATTTGCAAAGAACTTTATGTGTATTATCTCATTTGATCCTTACAGTACTGGGAGGCAGGTGCTGTTATTAGCCCTGTTTCACAGGTGAGGAAACTGAAGCTGAGAGATTAATTTGCGCCTCTCACAGCTAGTGTCTGAGGCAGGATTTAAATTCAGGTTTTCCTGATTCCAAGTCCAGCATTGTAGATACGAAACCACCTGGGAAGAACTATTTCCTTTTTTGCCTTCTTACCTCGTTTGGAGTGCGGTCCCTGGATCATAGCGGGCTCAGGAAGTTCATTGAAAGCTTATTGAGTTAAATTGCATTGTTTTCATTCTCTAGAGACTGTTTTATTAGATTATGTACAGCCTTGCTGTGTTACTGGAAGAATATTATTGTTAAAAATCCTTACCCTGCTTCTTTACTTTTACTTTGGTGTACAAATCTGCATTTTTTCTTACTATTTAGCTTTTTCATGCCCACAAATCTAAATTGATTTCCTCTGACCCATAATTAGCATGCATTATTTTCATGTTTTATGAGCTCCTTACTGATTAGTAGTTTATTTAATACTTTTCGTTTTTAAAAATTCTGTTCCTTATGCCTACTCCTTCTGTAGCTGTCTGGGAGGCCTCATAGTGAGAAGTGAGATTTTCCATTTTCAGCATCCATCTTTCCTTTATTCTCCAGGAAGAGAGCCTGACAAATGAAGTCCCCGTTAATGGATTGCTGTGGTGGCTCCTGTCATCAGTTGATGGACTGATGATGCCTTTCACCTGCTGGTCCAGGCAAGCTGGAGCCAAGCTGAGCAGTAGCTAAGGACATTGTCTCAGATGCTTCAAGGCTTTGGCACGTAGCCAGTGTAAACAAAAATACTGGAAAGTGTCTGAACAAGTTGCTGCTGCTGTTCCCTTTTAATTTAAAAAAAAAGTTCTCAAAGTTAAATGACTCTTCTTGGGTGTGTTGTTATTATTTTTTGCATATTGTACCTCACAAGGTACATAAAGTTATTCTGTACCTGAAGTATCTTGTAGGATTTTAACATGCTTGCACATTTAATAACAATTTCTAAAAATGTCCTACTTTTGTGGGACAACATGAAAAAATTTTTTTCATTTCTCCTTATGATTCTGACAGCAGTAACAGGGCTTTATGTTAATATCATTCTTTCCAATTACGAGGTACTTTCTCACTGTGACATTAGGCAAATGTCTTTATCACTTTTTTATATATGAATAAACTGAAGCTCAGAAAGGTTGATGGACTTGCTCAGGATTGCAGGGTTCATATAAGTGACAGACTGGGAGTACTAGAACCTGAGGCTTCTCTCTTAATTTACTGGGCTTTTGTGAAACCATGCCACACTGCCCCTCTAAAGCACCCTGCAAACAGATGGTCCGGATGGTGCTGCTGATCTCCTACCACTTATGTGTATGAAGAGCCGAATGGTCAATAAGTAGATCACTTTGTACCATTTTAAAAACACTGATTTTACATGTGTAAAAAAGCCATACAAATGGGATTAAGATTTAAAGTCACATTGGTAGATGATAATAGCTGTGTTGCAAGCAGTTTCTCATGACAAATCCCTGTTTTCTCCTAGGGCAAAGGAGTATGAGAGCTTAATGGAAGCAAAAGGCCCTGGCTCTGACTCACCTTATAAAGCAAAGTAAGTGTTTTCTCGAGAAGCTGGGTTAAGGACCTGCATGTGACAGCCATGCGTCTGCATTTGTTGCTTAGTGCTTCTATGTCAGTCACGTTCCTCTTTTAATGCATCATTTCCCTGCAAAGTGAGTCTGAGTCTGGTCAGGTGTTCTTAGCCTTTCCGGTGGGGGTAAGAGGTTGAAGTTTTATTGGAAAGTGATCATTCAGGTAAGAAGCCAGCATTTGTTTCTATTCTATAAATGAAAAATCATTCCACTAAGAATACAAGTTCTCAATCCATTCCTGAGAGCAGCCTATTGTAGCAGGAACACTAATGAGCATAGTCGAGTCGAGAAAACTGGATTTGAGACAGGGCTAGAGTCTGCTGCTCAGTCCCCTGCCCTTGTCTCCAGCTCTCTAAGAGTCCTCCTTCACTGGGCAGTGGGTGGGCTTGGGTGGGCCACCTGAGGGTGGCCATGGCAGGGGCAGTGAACAGAGCCACCTCTGTGGGCCTTGGGATGCTCCCAACCAGGTGACTTCACGACGCAGCCAGGACTAGAGGGGCGAAGCTGCCCTCAGAGCACTGAATTTTTTAAAAAGACTTTATTTCTGCATATGGCATAGAAGATGAGCTCTGCTGCCATGAACACTGTGCCTGGTATTCTGTTGGCCATTAACCAGCTTCGGGATCTTGCAGGAGATCTGTTAAAAAGATGAGCCGTTGTCCAGGATCTAGGATGTCTGCCAGGCCTTATTTTGTTATGGACCACCCCAGTCCTCCATTTGTCCACTCAGCTCTACTAGCTGTCCGCTACTTGGCAGAATGCCATGCTAACAGAGAAGAGAGGAAAGGTGAACGGAGTATGATGTTGAGCTTACAAAGACTGGTGCTGCAGGAGCAACAGCGTCCTTCAGTCATCCACCATGGCTGATGCCAGTTGTGTCATGGGAAGGGAAGCTGTTGTTTGTTTGTTTCTTTTAAACTACACACAAGCTTCCAGAGCAGTGGTTTTGCATATGGATGGCCTTGATGGGTCCTCAGGGGAAATCTTTGTGCAGAGGCCTTGTTAAAAATGAAAGGAGTTTACTTAGTTTTACATTTCAGATGGCTGTTCAGAGATATTCAGATTTGAAAGCAGAGGCTTTGGCAACAGCAATAGCATCAGCCAGAGCTAGGAAAGCACACACAGCAAGTTGTGAAAAGTGAAACAGAAGAAGAAATGCTGGTCCCAGTCCAAGATACTCCTGTAGAAGCAGAACAGAAAATAGACCTACCTGATTATCTGCCAGAGCATGAGAGTGCTGGAAAGGACCCAGAGGAAACACTGGGTCCCGCCTAGAAGGCGGAGCCAGCCCCTCAGGCACAGCCACAAAACTCTCTCCCTGTCCTTTTACTAGTGACTTGAATCTGGGGCCCTGGAGCTGTGTGCATCAGCAGAGTGGCCAGTTTTCCATTGCCGTGGTTAACTGTGACGCGCAGTGTGCAATGAGTTATGGTGAAAAGTTTTTAGATTGCACAATTATGCATGCTGCATTTTATCTTATTGGATGTGTAACCTATTAGGTGGTTGAAGGGACAGAAGCCTCAGAGGGGATTGCTTTATTTGTGGAGGGGATTTCTTGGTGGTGTTTTCCCGTGTTTTATTGCTTCACTTTATATCTGTCTGTCTGCTATTAAAACAAAACCTTTGTGCGTGTGCAGCTTTAGATTTTACTTCATATGAAACATGTGATTACGCAAACTCTCGACTCAAGTCTTAGGACTCTGTTTATCTTAAGTTTTATCTTAAGTTCTACCTGAATCATTAAATTTTTATTGGGGGGGGAGTGGTTAAGATCGGGGTGTTAGAGGGTTCCTTGTTTCTAATGAAGGATATTGGTTTGGGTAGTCTTTACCAGGAAGCCAGAGGAAAATATACCTGTTTATTCTTTCCCTTTTTTCACCTCTTTTGTTTTTGCCAGTCATCTTTGCAGAAGCTTAATTTTCAGTAGCATTTTGTATATTAGAATTTTGAACATATAGATCCATAAGACACATTTTAAATCATTTTGTTCCCCCTAAAACATTGATGTTTTTATATGATTAACAGAGAATTGAGTAGAAGAAACTGTGACTATGCTATGCTCCTTTCAGAGAACACTTATTCATCTATTTATTTATTTATTTATTTGCTTGCCTGTTTACCTACTCATGTATTTATTTATTTAGTTGTTTAGTTATTTAGTTATGAGGCAGTTGGGGTTAAGTGACTTGCCTAGACTCACACAGCTAGTGAGTGTTATGTGTCTGAGGTTGGATTTCAACTCAGGTCCTCCTGACTCCAGGGCTGTTACTCTATCCACTGCGCCACCTAGCTGCCCCTCAAATAATATTTAACTGAGTGTGATGGCATACAGTTGACATTGACTGCTATTTAGTTAGGCTCAAATCGGATCTGGAGAGTTCTAATTTGTTCAAGTGATGTCCACTGTAGTCTTGCCTTCAGCAGGAAATGGCTGATCGGCCTTAGTTTATAATTGTACATTATCCCTGATTAGCAAAAATCACAGGAGTTAAAGCTGATGGGAACTTAAGAAACAGCCCAGTGGAATGAAGGCCCATCATGCCCCAGTGCTCCTGCAGAACATTCCGCACTTCAGCACCAACTGCTGGGCAGATGTCTACTCAGCAGATGTTTCCTTCTATCACCACTTTTTGAATTCCTCATGCACTCACATTAGTGGTTATGCTACAGGGTAGAGCTGAGGGAGGGAAGGACCCAAACAGTTACCAGCTGTAGATCAAAGCAGCTTTTGTGGGAAAAGGCCTTGGCCTGTTAATCTGTCTCATCGTGTCCATATAATTTTGGCAAAGGTAAAACCAGTTTGGTTTTGGTTTTGGTTTTGTAAATATGATCTAAGGCATGTACCAGTACTTAATGAAGCTTCTGAACTGTTGGGAAACTGAGGAGTATGGCTGACAAACTTCAGTGCTGTTGAAGGGCTTGAAGATGCCACTAGCATCTCTTTCTGGCAACATTTGCATCTCTTACTACTTGGAACTACAGTGAACATTTAGCTGGGCAGCCTTCTTCCTCACCTCGACTCACTTCTAACAATTAAGAACATTCAGGGTACCAGAGGAGAGCTGTTCTGAAATCGGTGCCACTAATGGAAGTCTTGAGTTCATTCATCTGAAGGAGTGAGAGAAAGGCTGATTTGCAGGCCAGCTGTTTGTAGAGGGGTTTTTTGTTTGTTGTTATTTGTTTTGTAAGTGTATCTAGTCTTTGATTCAGGTAACACCTGCAGACAGAAAATAAAAACTTTAAGGAGTATATAATACAACTTGCTACCTACCTAGACTGTTACCAGACCAGATGTGTTTTGGTTTTTTTTTAAACAATCATCCTTTCTGTAGCCTCGAATGCAAAGTTTACTTTTCTGTATTCATAACTGTTTGCATTTTCTTTTGCATTACAAAGACATCTTCCTTGTTAAATAATGACATCCCTTTGATAGTAATGGTTTAGTACAAGTAGGTGGTAGGGTTTTGATGTTTGTGTGTTTAAATTCCAAGTATGCTTCTTTGTATTGCATTCTAAATATTTGTATATCCAATTCTAAGTATTGCAGATCTTGTAGCTTGTACTTAAGGCATCTGTAAAGCATTTCTTTTTTTGTGTTTTGTTTTGTTTTGTTTGTTTTTGGCTAGGCAATGGGGTTAAGTGACTTGCCCAGGGTCACACAGCTAGTAAGTGTTATGTGTCTGAGGGCGGATTTGAACTCAGGTCCTTCTGAATTCAGGGCCGGTGCTCTATTCACTGCGCCACCTAGCTGCCCCAAAGCATTTCTTTTTTAAAAAAATATATTATAAAATAATAGAAAGTAATGTAACTAAAAGTGAAAAAAAAAAAGATATGAGTCCTAGCTCTGATACCTCTTTTCTCTTAAGCAAATCACTTAAACTTTCTAAGCTCAATTTTTCAACCTTTGTAAAATGAGGTTGATCTACTAGAATGATCTATTTCAGAGGGTTGTTAGCCAAGTCCTTTGTAAACTGTAAAGTTCTATAGAAAAATAAGGGTTTTTCAAATTGTTCTTAGAGGCATTTTAATGCCATTTACAAGCAGACCTAGGAAATGAGCAGCCAGGGTCTTAGCTGTCAATGTATTGTAGACAGTTCCAAAGGGTAAGGATAGCTTTGTTAAGTTTAAAAGACAGACAAAAACAAGGCTGAGTCTAAGCCAGGTGACACGAAGAAATGAAGGTGACAGCCACTTGTTCTAGGTACCCTTGGAATAGCCCTGTCAAGAAACCCAGCAACAACAGTATTCATCTATTTTGGTCAAATGCTTATAAAGGCCTCTTTTAACTGGGAAGTGAAAGCAAGAAAGAGAAAGTAGTTTATATGTAAATATATGGTTTTTGATATTTCATCATATAGCTATCTATAACTGATTTTTTAGCTCCTAGTTATTGCAGTGTGTTAGATACTGAATGATTTGTTAGATATATATGCTTAATCATTCTAGGATAAAATAACTTTTTAGACTGCTACATTAAAATGTGATTTTTTTTCATTTAGTGTAAAAACTAAAGTCCAACTCTAGTAAACTCATCAGATAATCAGACTGCCACATGAAAGAACTTAATATTGGGGAAGTAAGACATGTGTACTGATAGCTTTGTTATAAAGCTGCTCCCCTCTTAACCCCAGGAGCGTCAGGGACTATGTGTGATCTAGACTGTGCAGGGCCCAGCACGGGCTCCTTCGAGAAGAGGTGCTGCTGGCACACAGTGGATTGGGATACAGAGCTTGCCTTGAATTCCCAAGGGTAGTTTGAGTGGAGCAACTGTGCTCAAAGATTCTTCCAGTCTGTAAAACCGTGGCCTGGTGTCATCCAAGAGCTAGCCTAGCCTCATGATTCCCCCAGGTCTGTACTCTTGGCATTGTCCTCAGCTTTTAACTCTCCCTCACCCCCCATATGCAGTCAGGTACCCATTCTTGTCATTTCTGCCTTGACATCAGCTCTCACATGCAGCCCC